AATCTTAAGTTGGATTGGTTATGTAGTCGACCCGTTTTAAACCGGATTGAACCGGTCAATTTTTCAGTCAACCGGTGAACTGGTGGGTCAAACCGGTTCAACTACTTTTTTTTCTTATTTTTTTTTTAAAAAAATTTAAAGAATCATAAACCACAAAAATAATAATGAAAATTGAATCTCTTAACGGAAGAACAAAGATTCTTATTAAATATAACAATGACTACTTATTCTAATGTATTTGTTTATAATATATACAACTTAAATAACTTTTATAGTATATTATTAATTTTAAATTATATGTTTAATAATATAATATTTATGTAGATATTACATATATTATTTTGTGATATCAATTGCAAGCATATTATATATATACATATTATTTATATTTTTAATTTGTATTAATATACAGTTTAACATGTAGTTTTTTATATATTTTTTACAAAATAAAAATAAAAATAATTTTAAATAAGATAGGAATTTGAAATTTAAAATATGATATAAATTTATTAAAATTTATAAGTATAAAATATATTTAATATAAATATTTTTTAATAAAAATAAATAAAAATCGAGTCATGCAGTTCAACTAGTGACTTACTGGTTCAACCTTTAATTCACTGACCCAGTACCTTAACCGGTTCGAAGATCGATCCGATTTTTAAAACTATAGTTTTAAGAATCAATGTAATTATACACACAAAAACAAACTTACACTAAGTCAATCTATTTAAGAGTAAAATGACGTATCTTTGGTATAATTATTTCTTGTACTTAATTTATTATATTATTTATCTATCATATATATGTTCTAAAACACTCAGTTTGAAAGCTTTGGAGCATGCATGATATTGGGGGTGTAGAAAGTTCTAACTAGGTAAAAATAAATTCTTTGACAACTTGCTCCCTTTTTAGTAATGGAACTCTCATTGATCACCCTTATGCAGGTTTGATTATCCACCGTCGTGTTTTTTGCTTCAACAACCTTGGATAGTTAAGGTTTCCGATGTTGTTCGGGAGGAAAACTTCATTGCTAACTTTATGGCTATGGTAGCACACTTGGAATTTTCTGAGCTAGTTTTCATGACTCATGTATATGATTTACACATTCTCTAAAATGATTATAGGGAAACTTGTTATTCCCAATTTTACATCGTGTAATTGTTCTGTTTGTTCTCTTTATTTAAAAAAAAAAAACACTCAATTCAAGATGATAATAATCTATACAAACAAATGCTAATTTTGAAATTTTAATTTTATATAGGTGAGTTTAGATTAATATATTAAGTAAAAATAAATTTAGTCCTGAATTCAATAAAATAAAACGGGTATCGTATATTGTACGTGTAATGATGATTAATTATCGAAGAACTAGCTGTCCTTTGATGATCAACAGAATAAAACCGTCCACAGAATTGTTCAAGGTCAAGGGACATGATGGCTTTTATTTACATTCTTAATTAGCTGTAATACATATTTATTCTAAACTAATTCTACCAATAAAATGAGATTGAAACGTAATTGCACGGTTTTATAAAATTCTAATATAATCGTAGTAAAACAAATATAACATGCCATCATTTCGTATAAAATAATAACTAACTCTGCATAACTGTATTAAACAACTTTTTAAATGTTGAAAATAAAGTTAGATTTTTTTTTTGAAAAAATAATGTTAGATGCTAATTTTCATCCTCTGCATAAAATAAGAATAATTTCATTGAAAATATTATTTTTGGGATTATTGTTTAATAATAATTTTTGTTATTGATATATCTTCAATGATTTTTTAAAAATTATTAATATTTTTATCTCTTTTAATTTATATTTTTAGTTTCACAAAATAGGAGAATGGTATGAGAATAGTATTATATATGAGCAATGAACAATAGTGTAGTATTATTAGTAGAGAAAAAATGGAGAAGACAGGAGCATAGAAAAAAAAGATGAAAAACTCACTTGAAAATTCTTAAAACACTTGAAAAATCATTTCAAACAATCCTTCAAAATCCGATGGGTTTGGATGGGATTGTTTTATGAATCTGGTATTTATAGATAACACTAGAAAGTCTTTCAAAATCCCTCTCACACAACAATCCTTTAAAATCCTTAAATTTTTGAATACCAATGGATTGTTTTTAAGTTGTAAAAAATCTCAAATGAATACCAGTGGATTTTAATGGACTCTTTAAAAAATCCTAAAAATCCAGATTGAATACCACTGTATTGTTTTTAAGTGACATAAAATCCTGATTGAATACCAATGGACTTTTTTACTCAAAAAAAGTCTTTTAAAATCCTACGAAATCCTAAACCAATACACCCCCCTAATATTCCATGTATTGACATATTGTCTTTAATATCCTTGAGTTTGAATAATATGTTTCATTAACCAATAACATTAACTAGTAATATTGATGAGGGAATTACATATAAATTATATTAAAAAGTCTCATAAAATCTAGTATTCAAAATAATTTATTAAAAGCTCTATTTTTTGAATACAAGCATATTTCTTTAACTTAATTAAACATCACCATATTTTAATAGACCTATAAAAAATCTTAATTAAATATTACTAAATTTTGACGGATTCTTAAAAAAAAAAATTGATTGTCTTGATTAAATATCACATAACTTTTGTATATTAATTTTTTTTATTAAATACTAGAAGACTTTTTTTTATAATAAAAAATCTTTTAAAATTTATTGAAATCCTAGTCTAATACATCTCCTAATTTATTTTCTTATAATTTTGAAATTTTTAATATTTTAGTCAATAATAAAATACATGTTAATAACAGTGTGTTTTTAGCTCTCCTTTATTTTTTTTAACATATATTTTTATTATCAACCAAAAGTTATTGAATTTTAAAAAAGTATATATCTTATTTTTATTTTAATAAATTTTACTTATAATTATATATTTTTAATAAAAATTTAATAAATGTATTAAAATAACTAATACTATATTACTCATTTAGTCTAAATAACTGAACCCGAACCTCTTGAGTCGTTAATTTTTATGGATGTTAAAATGATATTTAATTTAACATGTCCATACTTTTGGTGCTTTAATTTACTTTTTCAAATATATTAATTTATAAGTGAATTAAAATATTTTAAAATATAAATATTAACCTTAAATATCAATAAGTAAAGTAATTTAGTTGATATATCATTTGAAGAAGAAGGCCGGACAGGCGAACACAAAGCGTGTGGTGTTCCACGTGGCCCATTCTCACGGGAAAAACGCATTCTCCACACGGGATAGGCCGTCACTCACCATCTTCGTCTCTTTCGGATTTATTTCCCTCACGCTCTCCACAAGCGCGTGAATCCAACTCTTTCATCAATGAAAAAGTAGCCGTTGGAAGACACCACGTGGCCCCTTGCCGACACGCTGTTTGGAGTCCACGATGCTCAGCTAATTCAATCTTCCTAAATAATTAAAATTAATATTATATCATAATATAAATTTTCTATCATAAATCTTAAGTGTAATTTATATGATAAAAATATTAATTATAATATAATTTATATATTTAAAATATTTGTTATAAAGTTTAGTTAAATAAAAGAAAATTAATGTATCATATGAATTTAACTAAATACTAGTTATTTTATTAAACTAAACCTGTAAAAAGTTTTTTTTTCTTAAATAAAGGATATTCATTTTTACTTTTTAGTGATGATATATAAAATATTAAAACTAGTGGGAGAGAAATTTTTTTTATCATAAATAAACTGTTTTAACGCATTTTTTATTAGATAAAATTTATTATAAAAATATATTATAAGATAAATTATTAAATATGATGTGAGACTTTTTAAATATTTGATTTTAACTAAATTTTAACTAATTAAGAAAATGTGTTTTAAAAAATGTGTTTATAATATTTTTTATAAGAAAAATGTCAATAATTGTTAGTTTTAGAACACCATAGTACACCATTTAAAACATTCTTTTGAATTTACTATTTATTATCAAATAAAGTTTATTATAAATCAAAATTTTCAAGTATTGGATCGAGATTTCAAAAAATAATTTTAATATAAAAAATTCTTATGAATTTTAATAAATTTTAAAAGATTTTATTGGAATGTCATAATTTTAAAAAAAAATTTAAAAGACTTTTGAACTTAAATTTTAATCAAGAATTTGTAATTTAAATTTTAATGATTTATATTATAAGATTTTAAATGATTTTATAAATTTCATAAGAAAACATGAATTTGTAATACTATAAGATTTAATAAAAATATAACATAAATAATAAAGAAAAGAAAAATTAATACATTTTTTTCTATCTTTTGACAAATAATTGTCTCTATACAAATAATTAACTTTAATATACTCTTAATTAACATTTTTCACATATCTAAAAATATTTTACTTATAATTATATATTTTTAATAAAAATTTAATAAATGTATTAAAATAACTAATACTATATTACTCATTTAGTCTAAATAACTGAACCCGAACCTCTTGAGTCGTTAATTTTTATGGATGTTAAAATGATATTTAATTTAACATGTCCATACTTTTGGTGCTTTAATTTACTTTTTCAAATATATTAATTTATAAGTGAATTAAAATATTTTAAAATATAAATATTAACCTTAAATATCAATAAGTAAAGTAATTTAGTTGATATATCATTTGAAGAAGAAGGCCGGACAGGCGAACACAAAGCGTGTGGTGTTCCACGTGGCCCATTCTCACGGGAAAAACGCATTCTCCACACGGGATAGGCCGTCACTCACCATCTTCGTCTCTTTCGGATTTATTTCCCTCACGCTCTCCACAAGCGCGTGAATCCAACTCTTTCATCAATGAAAAAGTAGCCGTTGGAAGACACCACGTGGCCCCTTGCCGACACGCTGTTTGGAGTCCACGATGCTCAGCTAATTCAATCTTCCTTAGTTACAACTATTAATATTAATCAGTACCACTGGCATATAATATTTCGTCTCGTTAATAATTAATATTTTCAAAAAATGACATAAATAATAACAATACTAGTACACTGGGACAAGGGGAGTTGAGATATACACATTGAGTGTTCAGTGTTGGGCTGTTCACCCATAACGTAACAAGTAAGTTCCAGCACTGTATTTTATTCTCCTTTTTTCTCTCTCTCTCTTACCTTCCATGGAAGCCAATCTGAATGTCACCGATCTCTTTAGATAGTTTGTGTGTTGGTTAAGGAAAGGGCTTCAAAGTGTCGTGTCTTCTAGGTTTCACTGCACGACGGTGGCGGAATCTTCTTGCTTCCTTCTCTTTCGGAGATATACGAATACCCTTTGATTCAACTTTGGATCTTCACCTCGGATTTTCTTCCATTGCTGGGTTTAACACACTTGGGGGTTTTCCCTGACCCAACTGTGTGCGACAACCACAAAGTACGATCCTTTTATTATGTTCTTTTTCTTGAGAAGAAAATGAAAAGGTCTTTCCATTTACGTATCTGAACGCTTGATAAATCACTGAGGAATTAGTTATATTGAAATTTAACATCTATGGTAAGAGGGTTCAAACAAAGTTATAAATAGTTTCTGTGAATTTTATGGGGAAAAAAAAAAATCTCTTGAGATAGGATACATTTTTCTTCTACCAAGATTTTCATTCAGATTATTTGTGTATCAATCTAACCCATTTCATTGATTGCTTTACAGGTGTATTCTTTCTAGAGGGGAAAGAAAATGGCTACTCTTCAAGATATTACGCTTGCAGCTGCCTTGAACATTTTGAGTGCATTTATTTTCTTTGTGGCATTTGCTATTCTGAGGCTTCAACCTTTTAATGATCGGGTGTACTTCCCAAAATGGTACCTGAAGGGTTTAAGAACAGATCCTGTAACCGGAGGAGCGTTTGTGCGCAAGTTTGTCAATTTAGATTGGAGATCATATCTTAGGTTTCTGAATTGGATGCCAGCTGCACTTAGAATGCCAGAACCTGAACTTATTGATCATGCTGGATTGGACTCTGTTGTTTACTTGAGGATTTACTTGATAGGGTATGGACAATGAGTGAATAGTGAATAAGTACCACATCAGCTAAGGAGAATATGATCCATGATGTTTTCTGTTTCTGTTATGCAGACTTAAAATCTTGATCCTGATGTGTTCTGTTTCTGTTATTCAGACTTAAAATCTTTGTTCCAATAGCATTCCTGGCATGGGCAGTTCTGGTTCCTGTCAACTGGACTAGTACTGGGCTGGAAGCTGGAATGAGCAACATAACTTCGAGCGACATTGATAAACTCTCAATTTCAAATGTCCATAGTCGATCTCAAAGGTTTCAAAACCATCATTCTGTGCTATTACAGTTTTGCTGCTGCATCTTCATGTTATTTAGTAAATTAGTTCGAATCCAAGGTACCTGCATCAAAGATGTATTGTTGATCAAATATATCTGGTTTAACTGTTTGAGGCTTTAGGTGTAGTTTTTAACTTGGTGCAACCTTAATATAGATGAAATTTTAACTGCTTTACATGTTTTCTCTTGATTCCGCAATTATTTCTTAATTATTTTTTCTTTTTATCAAAATCTTTATAATTATTGCTTCTCTTCTCCAGATTCTGTGATTATATTTTAATTAATTTGTCTCTCATCAGAATCCTTAACATTACATCTCAAGATAACATCACTTCTTGCTTCTCCATTCCAATTTGCAGAAATTTGTTTTGTTTTCTGTGCATTATCTCACTTGTTAACAGTTATGGAGTTACTGTTGTGGTGCATTAATGTCACTCACTGTATCACTTATTATAGAGCATTGGTTTTCTTAAATTTCTAATAAGCCTGTGTGCTCCGCTAAAATTTTGTACTCTGCCTCAGGTTCTGGGCGCACATAATAGTTGCTTATGCATTTACCTTTTGGACATGCTTTATTTTACTAAAGGAGTATGAAAAAGTTGCCGCAATGAGATTGCAATTTCTTGCAGCAGAAAAACGTCGTCCTGATCAATTTACGGTAAATATGGTTTTTCTCCATTTTAATTTAGGAGTTTTTCTTTGTAATACTTCCTGGTTACATATTGTGGTTCACTGTTTTTATCTACCACACTCTTTTATCAGTTTTGGGCAGCTTTGAGATGAATCAATGAAACTTGGATGTTTGGTTTCTTGTGTTAGAGGTGGTATGCTGCTTAGTCATTTTTCTAGGCAGACCTTGATTGTATATATCATAATTTTCTTTACTTCATAACTATGTAGATTTCTGGTGAGGCTTAGCTGGTCATAGGCAAGCATGTTAATTAGCTAGCTAGGTGTATCGGACTATCAGTGAATAAGTAAGCAAAAGAATGGAGTGATGACTGTCATGTGGCTTTTAGGTGTATGAAAGGGATATAAGAAGTTAAAAAGACTTTGGAGATGTTATACATACACACATATATTAAAACAGTAAAACAGGTCAAAAACAAATATCCTTTTAATGTAGAAGAGCTCTCCTATCTGTCAGCATTTTTATCTTCATACTTGACTAGTTTTTGGAAATTGCAGTTATGGACTGAACCTTTACATGTCATTTAGATATGAGATATACAATCATGTGTATTTTTGGCTTATAGAAAAGATATTATTTGCAGGTGCTTGTTAAGAACATTCCACCAGATCCTGATGAATCTGTAAGTGAGCTTGTGGAGCACTTTTTTCTGGTCAATCATCCAGATAACTATCTTACTCACCAGGTTGGTTCTGCCTGTGTACACTATACTTCTATAATATTTTGTTCATTAATTATCTCATTTATTGTGATATTTAGAATTTAAGACGCATTGGGTGACTTCTAGCCCGAAAGTTTCATCTTTTAATGCAATATTAAATTTGTTTGTCTCATTGATTCTGAAATGATGTATGATGTGTATCAGTCATTGAGTACATTATTGACTAGATGTCTAGATCTAATCTATTACTCCCTCTGAACCTATATATGATCAAAAAATTCTTAAATTTTTTGGACACAAATATAAGCAAATTTCAACCAACTCAACTTCATTTAATGCTCTTAATCCCAAAATATCTCTAAGACAATAAATGAGAGCACTATCTACAATAAATGTGATTAAGGTTATTTTAGTAAATAGTGTATATTTTATATGAAATCATTAAAATCAAATGCATTTAAACTATCCTTTTTAATCTGTGTGAAATTAGTTTTTTTTTTTTTTGCTTATATATTTAGTAGGTCCAAAGGGAGTATGAGTATGACCAAGTAATTTTCCCTTTCATTTGGGACTTTGAGAGGGGGATAATAGTATGTTTCAGCATATTCATTGTGACATTAATGCAGGTTGTTTATAATGCAAACAAACTTGCAAAGTTGGTTAAAAAGAGGAAGAAATTGCAGAATTGGCGTGTATATTATCAAAATAAACTTGAAAGAACTTCTGAAAGACCTCAAATAAAGGTATTTAATTTTAACCTGACATGCCTTCAGATGTTTGTCATAACCATCTTCATACTTAATAAATCTTTCTCTCTTGTATGTTTGTTATTAGACTGGTTGCCTTGGTCTTTGCGGTGACAAAGTAGATGCTATTGATCATCATAACACTGAAATTGACAAACTGTCAAAGGAAGTAAGTACCATTTATTTTATGTTAGGGATTTTACCACACTCTGCTTGAAAATATATTTTAATATAAACTCATCATGCAAATAATATATGGAAAAAATGGTTAAAATTATTCTTAAATAGGAATGAAAAGTTTATTTTGTATAACAGACTATGATATATGGAATTTTTGGTTTCTTTTATTTTTATGAGTAGGGAAAACAGGCATTTCGTGCCTCTTAATTATTCAGAAAGAACATGAGAAATTATTTCTTTTTCTTTCTTAACATTTGAAGGGTATAATAATCTATTAAAAAAGTGGAAACAAAATACGGACACACTTTATATCCCCTTTATAGTAGGTATAGATTACATGCACCAGTTTTATTCTGCTTTTTAGGTGTTATATTATCATTAATGACTGTGACTGCTTGTCTTCACCTATTATTGCAATTAGGTAATTTTCTGATTGTTCACTAGAACTTTGTGCAAATAATATATGGAGGATTTCATCATGTAATTTCCCCCAGAATAATGTCTTCAGATATAATGGGCCTTATTATGTTTTCATAAATTTTGTCTTCAGAATTTTTCGTGATGATTACAATGATTCAAGTTTATCTCCTTTCACAGATAGCTTTAGAGAGGGACAAGGTCACCAATGATCCCAAGTCTATCATGCCTGCTGCCTTTGTTTCGTTTAAAACTCGATGGGGTGCTGCAGTTTGTGCACAAACTCAACAAACCAGAAATCCAACAATGTGGTTGACTGAGTGGGCTCCAGAGCCTCGTGACGTTTATTGGTCGAATTTGGCAATTCCATATGTTTCCCTCACTGTTAGAAGGTTGATCATAGCTGTTGCATTTTTTTTCCTGACCTTCTTTTTTATGATCCCAATTGCAATTGTACAAAGTCTTGCAAGTCTTGAAGGAATCCAGAAAGCAGCACCGTGGTTGAAGCCTCTTATTAATATGTAAGTCTCTCATCACATAGTTGTATACCTGAAAAAATAGTTTCATTCACATTTATCCCTGGAGGTTACTTTCTTTGATTTACTTTTTTGTGCAGCCATATAATTAAGTCATTCATTCAAGGTTTTCTACCCGGTATTGCATTGAAGCTTTTTCTCATCTTCTTGCCCACAATATTGATGATCATGTCAAAATTTGAAGGCTTTGGATCTATTTCATCTCTGGAGAGAAGAGCAGCATCTAGATACTATCTTTTCAGTTTTGTGAATATATTTCTTGGGAACATACTTACTGGATCAGCATTTGAACAGCTGGACTCTTTCATCCATCAACCAGCCAATCAGTAAGTCATTAAAGATTCCAGCATCTTTGTCCTTTTAAAATCATTTACTTTTTTAATTGTCTGTATATTCCCATGTTTTGAGTGTGCATATTTATGTCCTGCTGCACTAAAAGGTTGCACAGGTAGGTAAATTTGTTGTATCTGTGGTCAAGTGTTACATCATATGTCATACATATACAAAAGGAGAAAAATATCCTTCTTTTGTATATACCTTTTTAATTTTAGCTATTTAAGAACCGTGGTGTTGGTGTTCTTAACTAACAGTTAAATATGGTTACCTTGATTGCTCCAAGCTCTTGTCATAATTTTGCACCATGTTAATATGATTAAGAACCCTTTTTATATTCATGTCAGATATCCTATAACAATTGGCACTGCAATTCCTTTGAAAGCAAGTTTCTTCATCACTTATATAATGGTTGATGGATGGGCTGGTATAGCTGCAGAGGTTTTGATGTTGAAACCACTAATCATATATCACTTGAAGAATTTCTTCTTGGTGAAGACTGAAAAGGACAGGGAAGAGGCTATGGATGCTGGGAGTATTGGTTTTAACACTGGAGAACCTCGAATACAGTTGTACATTTTACTGGGTTTAGTCTATGCTGCAGTGACACCTTCTGTTCTTCCTTTCATAATAGTTTTCTTTGGGCTGGCCTATGTTGTGTTCCGTCATCAGGTACCAAGATGGTAGAATTAGATTATATTGTACATGTCAAAGGATGATTGTATAATTTGAGTCCCCTGTTCTTGTTCCCATGTATAAGATGAAGACACCTCCCTTCCAATTGCAGATAATCAATGTTTATAATCAAGAGTATGAGAGCGGTGCGGCATTCTGGCCTGATGTCCATTTACGTGTCGTGATTGCACTGATAGTGTCACAGATAGTTCTGATGGGACTCCTGACTACTAAAAAGGCTGCTTCATCAACACCATTTCTGATTGCACTCCCAATATTGACGATATGGTTCCATATATACTGTAAAGGCCGTTTCGAACCTGCATTTGTTAGATATCCCTTACAGGTATGCAAATAATCATTCTGATGGATAATAATCCTAGGAGTAGCTTTATGCATTGACGGTGGAGTTATTTTTTCAATTATTATCTGTGCATTTGTTATCTATACAATCCTTCAATTACATCATATAGAAGGTCAGAATTTTGTATGCTTGAGTGTAGAAATGCTCAAGCATTAGCTATACTATCAATAAAATGATGTCTCTTAAGAAAGTGATTGGGACCTTAACTCAACTTTACAAAATCAACTCGTAAAGTATGATTGTATCATTAGTCAATGTGAAATCTTTAATACACCTTTCTCATGTGGAGGACCTAGATATCTCGAGTCTAGTAAGTTCAACAATAAATCAATAATCATTAGAATAAACTCTAATACATTATTATAGTCATATCACTAGTCGATGTAGGATTTCTAATAATATTAAACTATATGCTTATAAATTATAATACTGAACTTTTTATCGTATATGATTGATGACACACGTTTGCTTTTTCATGGAGTTTTATTGCTGTTTTTCGTAAACAGGAAGCAATGATGAAAGACACATTAGAACGAGCTACAGAACCGAACTTGAACTTGAAAGCTTACCTTCAGAATGCGTATGTTCATCCAGTTTTTAAGGCTAGCATTGATGATGAGGATGAGGAAGATGCAAATAGTCAAAAGTGGGAAACTGAGAGTGTTACTGTGCCCACAAAACGGCAATCAAGAAGGAACACACCATTGCCCAGCAGAATAAGTGGTGCATCATCATCTCCGTCTCTGCCTGATGCCATTCGACAGCAACCGGAGCCATAAATCATGGACCAAGGAAATTATATTATCATTATTGGACCCACCACGTAGCCTAGGATATGGACGTGCACATGTAACATACAATGGGCTACATAAGTTGACACGAGTTTCCAGCTTAATCTGAGAAAACTGAGTGGTTTGTAAGAAGCTAGTGATCGGCACAAACTATATATAAAGTAGAGAGATTCTTTGATAGTATTTCGGATTTTGTTAATAGTGAATTTGTTCTCTTAGTAGATATATACTTTCAAATCTGTATCACCAAGCAGATAGAGGATTTGCATAACATTACAACACGGAATGCTGTAAATTATCCAAGAACTGAGCATGGTTTAGATTGTGTGTATAATTTTTTCTCTCTTTTAATTACCCTTGACTTTTCCTTTGCTGTGTGTTTGGATAAAGAATCAAATTCAAGAAATTTTAAATCTTTGATATTTAAATTATTTTGATTTTAATTTTTATCATTTTTAAAATATTTTATTTAGATATGTTAATTCAAATTTCTTAAAATTTAAATTTTATAAAAATAAATATTAGTAAATTTTAAATTTTAATAATTTTAAAAAATAATATTAGATAATATTTAAATAATTTTAAAAATATTTTTAAATATTCAATAATTAAAAATATAAAGAGATAAGAAATAAGATAAAATATATAAATGAAATAAGAAGAAAAAATTTTAAATTTTTTTATAAATTTTTAATTTTTAAATTTTTTTATAAATTTTTTATTCAAACATGATATTTCAGTTTAAAAAATTTAAATTTTTTTAATAAATAAATTATTTCATTTAAATTTTCTAGATACACTAATCCCTAAACACACTATTAGATTTCAGCTCCGTTTGTCTGGGAAATTGTGCACGGTTTTAACACAGTCAATGTCCTTTCCTATTCATCGAACATTTGCCTGTCCCACATTAGCTTGACCTTTGTCCTCTCTGTTTGGTATCATCTAAATAGCATAACCGAAATGGACGAGAAATAAAACAGGTTAGTCATTTGGTATCACTTAAATGGTTCAGCAAAGAAATAAAAGTGTGCAAATCGGTGTGAAAATTCAATAGTACACACTTGAAAATGTGTTGATAAAGGACTATAAGTAATTGGTAATCAATTATTAAAATATATTTACATAAAATAAAAAGTTGTTTTAAATTTAATCGATTAAATATTTCATTCAAATAGAATAAATTACTACCTTGCAACATCCACAATCGATTCAATCTATTAGTTTTATTTTTCTTGATCGATTAAAATTTTTCTAACGAGGATATTTTATTATTTATTAATTAATTTAAAAAAAATATTTTTATTATTTATTTATTTATTTTATTAAAAAATAGTATTTTATCCCGTACATATATGATGATACTAGTTATTTCTTTTAAATCAAATAATCAAATTTTTACTTTATTTTTTTTATCTATTTTTACTTAGTTATGTCTTTATTATCCAGTGTAGTTATCTTTACTTTATTTTTCATCATATTCTTTCTTCTCTACTAAACACACTCTTAGAGTCCATTTAGACTCTCTTTTTATGAGTAAAAATAGTTCTTTATAAATTACGTGTACGTTTTTATGACGGTCTCATGAAATTCATATTGCATGCTCACCATCATAAATATACTTTGTTTTCGTCATTAAATGTAACCCATAATACATGTTATAAAGTTGACTGTTATTAAGAAGTTTACTTGTTATTTAATGAGTTTTTCCCCTATTTAATGGTGTGTACACCTATAATAAATTTTAAATTAGTAATATAGTGTGTTTAAATGAGTGTAAAAAAGTATATTTGCACTAATTTTTAAGAACGAGAACTAAAAAGAGTAGAGATTATAACACTCACATTACTCAACTAATTGAGTTAAACTCTCATGTTATTATTTTACGTTAGTTTAAAGAAATATTTTCTTCGTCTCATAATAATCGTCGTCGTTATTATACACAAATTAAGAAAAATTAATAATTAAATAAAAGATAATGGTGATTTTATAAAATTAATCTTGTGAATAATTTTTTTTTGCTAGAAACTATATAATACAAAAAAAACACTTTTTAAAAGATAATGTGAGGAGTATAAATGGAAAAATAGGTAATAACTAATACTACATTGAAAAGTTAACATAACACTTATTTCAGGACATTCATTATAAGATGGAGGGAATAAGTTATTATTTCCTTAATTTTTAATACTATCTACGTTATATAATAAGTATTATCTTAACTTTTTAATGTAACATTAATTTTTTTTTTAGAAAGTTGTTGTTTGGATTTCTTTTAGAAAAGAATATTAATAATAAGATTAATTTTATAAAATTATTATTCTTTTATAACTAAATTGATCTATTAGTCCCTGAAGTTTTTTCAAGATTTTAATTAGGTCTCTATAATTAAAAATACTTTAATGCAAAATAGTCATTTTTGTTTTATACAAGATTGATTATTTCAAATTCATTATCTTGTTTGAGTTTAATACACTAGTTAATAATATAATAAATAGAGGTACAATTGAGAGGGAAAAAAAATTAAAAGAGTGTATTAGATTGAAATTTTATAAGACTATTTTAATAATTTTTTGAATTTTAAAAGATTTTATAGAAATGTAATAACTTTTAAAATTATTTTAAAAAACTTTTTTGAAATTTTATAATATAGATTTTAATGAATTTATAATCCAAAAAAGATTAATTCAATTTGTCTCGGTCCCACGAACTACTCAGGTTAAAAGCCAATAAAAATCAGGCAACACAAATTAATTTTAACCATATATAAAAAAAAATTAAAAAAATTGAAATTTTAATATTAAATTTTATTGGAACTAAACATTAGTTAAATTTTAATAAATCAAGAGATTAACAATATATAGTATTTAATAATTAAAAAAAATATTAATAATTATACATTAATATTGATAGATAGAAAAAGACAGGAAAAAAAATAGAAAGAAAAAGAGAGAAATGAGAGATATGAAACAAAAAAAAATGAGATAGAGAAGAAAATAGATAGGAAGAGGAAAAAAAGAGAAAGTGACAATCCAGGGAGAGAAGATTGTGGGGAGAGAGAAAAATAAAAAGGAAATAGAAGATGAAAAAAGTTACATGAAATCTCAAAAAAATTTGTGTGATTGTTAGATGAGTGAATATAATGTAAATTCTACTAAAAGGTAGAGGTTGATTGATAGTAATATATTTACTTTATTTATTGTAACACTATTGATTTTATGATTGTTTTATTAATTATGTGAATTTTTATTGTTTAGATGTTTGTCGCTGTTTAAAACTCTAGATCAAGGGACTCTAAGAGTAAGTTGGTCTCTGGATAGTTGAATTAAAGATAAGTGGATTTAGCTTATTAAGGTATAAAAGGAATTTCTAAAGTTTCAAACCTCATAATTTATGTTTTCAAATATTCTATAAAGAAGTTGGTGAAAAGTTCTTTGAAAATCCAATATCTCCTTCTTCTCTTATTCTTTTGAAACTCCTTTTCTACTTCTTATAGCTAATCCGAGCTATTGTGTTGCGGATTTGAAACTTGTAGAATTGAAGTTCCCGAGTCAGAGTAGTGCGATTTCATTATTCTTTTTCTTGATTTTGATTATTCCAAAAGTAAGGGAAGCTGTAATTTTGAATCCTTGCGTACATTGTGTTATTGAAATTGGTTGATTGTTGGCTGTTATGAAAAATTGACCGATAGAAATGATGAATTTGGGGGGTTTTGAAGTTTTGGAGTAATGAATGAGTAAAAATATTGATTCTCAATTTAGTTTATTTGAATGTGATGTTTTAAGTTGTTTTTGAGCTGTATATAATGTCTACATATTGTATTGTTGGTTGCATGTTGACATGTGTTGAAATTTCAAGTAAATTGGATGATTCTCAAGATTTTGGTAAGCACATAATTGATATCACACCGAGCACACCTTCGTGACACCGGGTGTGGTTCAATTAGAGACACTGTGCCTTGCTGACACTAGGTGTAGGATTGGTGGCACCAAACAGTAAAGGATAGAAAGGAGTAAAGTTATTTTAAAAATTAAATTATCTCATCGTGTGAATATACGTTATGGTGCTTCAAGAGCTCAATTGAAACCCTTCGATAAGTGAGTTGGCCTCTGAATGTGTAAGTTGTTTTCAATTGTCCCCTCTAAATTTTATGTGATGTTCGTATGTGGACATGGTCAAGACATACAAGTATAAAATGACTAATCGAGTAAAATATCGGGTTAGAGACTTAGTCCCTTAGTATCAAAGGGATGTAATATTTGGAGGATAGTTATTGGGCTAATCTCATAGGTGGCTTGGTGTCGTAGACTAATGTCG